CGTTCAGAGTTACTCTGGTTCAGAGTAAAGACATACAAAGTCAAATACTGCTTCCGAACGCTACCCCCCCCCAAAAATCAATTTTGCTCGAAGACCGAACTGCAACGGAGTTTAGTTACCAGTCTTATGCTGCGTGTTATTAGATAGAACGCATGATATGATTGGCTCCGTATATCACATTACGTCAGAGGACATGTCTGCCACATAGGACACAACTGCAATGGTACAGACAATCTCGTTCCCAGAGCCTTCGTTACCCTTGTCCAGCGGAACGGGAAACCGAAGACCTCTTCGGTTTTCCGTTCCGCTGGACAAGGGTAACGAAGGCTCTGGGAACGAGATTGAGGACTGGAAAATGGAAAATCCTATGTCTCGAGAAGTCTCCAGAGCACTTCGGTTCTCGTGCCAAGGCGCCGCCGGCTAAGAGGAGCGAAAAGGGCTATGGGGACGAGAATGAGCAGATTTCAAAATGGCGCTAGACTTCACTGAAAATGTTCCCCATAAGCCAATTCTAAACTTCTCGAAGGTCTTTAGCTCTCGTGGTCGATATTTCGGGAAGGAAGTTAGCGTTGATTTGTAGACCAAGGACTTGCCAATCAAGCTCAAGTTATCTGTCTCCAGAGTCTTTCTAATTCCTCGTGCCAGATTCCCCACCGGCAGGTTTCTTGGGTTGTTGATGTGTTGTGGACTTTCGATGAATACCACGCCAAGACCTCTTTATGATGATTCCCAACTACTTTTTAAAGCGAAATCTTTTTTGGTTCTCCGTCGTTTTCGGGAAGCAGTCCAGGTCTGTTGTGAAGTCCTTGAACTTGCCTTGAAACAGAACGATGACATAAAAAACTCATCACGGGGCAGGTTTGAACTCTGATATTTCGCTTGAACTTTAAGCTTAATAGTAAATCATGAGGTTAAGCTTAATGGTTAAAGTCAACTTTGATTTCAGCTCAAATGGAAGGTTAAGTATATATCATAAGCTTTCAAGATTGAAAAATATATATCTACCACAGGATAGGGACTGGGATGCCCAGTTAGCGAGATTCATATCATAACAGGCCCTTTGTAGCTACGGGCCATCACGTAACCTTACTTTTCATAAACTTGTGTGCTATAACTCGAAAATATAAAAATGGCCAAGTTTGAGACCCTTGGCATTGAAGAATGAGATTTTACAGGATTTTATGATGGTTTGAATTTTTAAAAAATTTAGAAGATTTGCAAGGAAAAAGTTATTGGAGTGCAAGACCTTTCTCTCCAGCAACATTTCCATAGATATCCTCTAATTCAAACTGTCCTATAAACTTACTCATTAATAGCAGGGGCCTCAAACTTTGCTATTTTTGTAGTTCGTATAGTGTGATCGTCAGGGTGAGGGTAGTTCTGAAAAGGACTGTTGTCGGTGACTGACATTTCGATGACCTGGGCAGAAGTCATCTTCAGGGTCAAGTGAATAGTGTTTGTCAGTCAATGATGTTATAAGTCTGGTCTGTTGAAAGTGATTGGTCAGTTTAGCCATGATGGTATTGGCTGAAAGACTTGTGTTAAGTTTGTCATCAGTCATTGGTCAGTTTCGATCGGTCTATTGTTAGTCAAATTCTTCGGTTTTAGGTCTGTCTATTGTTAGTCAAATTAAGTCGGTATGTTAGAAGTCCCCTTGTTGGTTTCGTTTCCGTTGTGGATAAGTCGTTTGTAAGGTGCCGGTAGTTGATGACATCTGTTAAGAGGGATTTGTTCTAAGTTAGTGTACCAGCTTTCCAGAGTCAGTCATTGAAAATAGTTTGTACTGCAGGTTAAGCACTGAGCAGGGTCTCAGTCAATGTGATGATGACTTCCGCTCAGGTTGTTGAAATGTTAGTCACCAGCAACAGTTCTTTTCAGAACTACCTCCACCCCGGATGATCACACTATACGAACTTCTGTAACTCCTGGGTTCAAAACATTTACATGTACTATGTTTGCTATTTTTTGATGTGCTCTTTCCCTTTCTGTGGGAGGCGCGGTGGCCTCATGGTTAGTGTGCTCGTCTCCGGATCGAGCGGTCCGGGTTCGAGCCCTTAACCCTGCGATGGACTAGCATCCCATCCAGTGGGGAGTAGAAATACTCCAAGTCGCTTCATGCTACAGAAACCGGGATAAGCTCTGGCCTGATGGGCCACTTGGCTCGCATGCAGACTTTACCTTTCCTTTACTCTTTACTTTCCATTTCTGATGATCTTTAAGTTGTAGCCCATACAGTACCGACTGAAGTCATATGCACATCGGCCGAGACAAAACCTAGGGAATTGTGCGTTCTTCAATGACTACGTCTTCGTGCTTTTAATTGCCTTTGTTTGCTTCAGTATTTCCTTGTATTGTTCAGTGTTAGACCACAATACCCAAGAGATATTTAGCGGAAACCTTACACACTGACCAGAATAAAATCTTCCAAAAATAACTGAAAATGTTTACAGCCTGCAGAAAGCTCTCAACGTTGTAAAAAGGTCTTAATTTGTTCGTAACATCAAAATATTGCATGGGATTTATTGGTCTGTAATACACAATTTAAGGCTTGAGCTAAGAGTGCTGTCAGAGTAATGCTTTGATCGATTGCATGCCTTTCATCAATCTTGTTGTTGACAAATAGGCTTTTTTCCTTTTTTATTGACAAGTAAAACTAAACTGAACATTCACCCTTTAAATTACATTCAAATACCTTTTATTTCCAGTATCCAAGTCGAGTTTCATTACTTTCCAATACATCTAAAGCGCTTGAACCAACCTGGGACTTGGGGCCACTTGCAGTCGCTAAGTGAAAGCGAATTATTTTCATAAGTGTTAAGTTTACATTTGATTTTGCTGGCATGGTATCGAGTGCTGTTGTAAAATTTTCCTAAAAGGAAAAAAAAATCAAGCACGAGGAAGGAAATATCCTACTTTTTCACTGACACAAAAGGAGCAGTGGAAAGATATTAAATCTGTATAAATCATGTCGCACCAGTGTATGTGAAACATATAAATAACATCTATTTATGGCCGGGTTAAAACTTTTTTCAATGAACGGAGAGTTCTTGGGTTGCATTTTTTCTGGCTAGAGAACTGTTTTCTATCAATTTCAGATAATGTAAACTTTGGCTAGGCTAGGTATGGATGGAATTAATTTTAGTTGGTTGAAAAGTCAACAAATGTAATTGAGTTAAATGTGAAAGCCAGTGACAATTAACTGTTACCAGGGTTAACATTTCCCAAAGGAAAAGAGTGAGCAGTTGTTTATATGTAGGTCATGGAAGAGTGGTAATGTCAAGCTATGTTAAATTAAGGGGTTTTGTCCTTGATGAAGCAAGGAAACAAAATGTTCAAAACGGTACAAAAATTCCAAGGAAGGATGATGTGAATGAAAATCCATAGAAAAACTGTTGCAAAGGAGTATCAATTTGTCGATAGCAGTCAGAACAAATACAGGTTGTACTCCAAAACTTCACCAGCAGAACTTCGATTCCATCGATCAAACACTCTAGGAAAACAATGAACTGAACTGTCACTTAAGTTGAATTAACCCACAATTAACCACTAAAGGCCGCTGCACACTAATCAATTTTTTGTTGGCCAACAAAAAATCTTCACTTGTCAGCTAGTGTGCGGTGAATTCAGACAAGTCCGCGACAAGATCAGGGCTTGGGTGATATCTGACAGTGCTAGATCTCAAAATGTCTTGTCAGGCATTGTCGGCTAGTGGGCGGTGGAGCAAGACAGTCTGTTGGGGCTCGTGCGCGCCTCAACCAATTAGGTAATGTCATGAGAATCTTGTCATTGGAGTAAGTGCAATGTTGATTTTGGATGACTTGGCCCCAAGCCTCAACACGGTTAGTCATGACAAAAAAATCGGCTAGTGTGCGGCAAGCTGATGGCCTGACAAATTTTAACCCGATTTGACCCGGACAAAAAATCTGCAGTTCTATGACAAAAAATCGGCTAGTGTGCGGCAGCCTTCAAAGCAAACAGCGCCAGTGTTAGCAAGGAGTCCAGAGAAAAAGGAGAAAGCAAGTCGGCTTGATTTGATGTCATTCAGTCCTGTTCAATTAATTATAATGTCCCACGATAGCATAAGTGGAAAACACAATGAAACTTTCCAAGAAGAATTTGCGCGAGTTAGTGATTACAATAATTTTCTTTTTGACTTATTAAATTAGTAAGGCACTCACGCTACGCCATCGATGCACGACCAAGCCTAGTCGTCTGTGGTTTTTCATGTTTCCTATTATTACTACGCTCTCTTTAAGTTGTAAATGTGAGAAAATTATTTATGAAAAGAGAAACAACAAGCAAACAGTACCCTATTAAATGTTATTGTGTTGCTCTTTTGTCCATTTGACCGAGGTAAAATTTAAACCTAGGTTTTTGTTCGTGAACCGCGTGGGTTTCGTTTGTGAAGCGCACGGTTTTGTCTCGTTCCTTCCCCGTGCACTTCACGCGTTCTCCCCTTGCGGTTCACGTGTTCTGATGTGCATGTGACTTCAGGCGGTAGTGTAAATATATAAAAAATGTTGCCAAAGATTTTGTCACATGACTTTGTCTATGAATTCTCCCAAAACTCTTGTCATGTTTTGACCAGCACCACTTTCTTTATTTCATAGCAAGCCTAAGTTTTCTGTGAGCAAATAGTCAACAAAGTGTAGCCCAGTTGACTATTACTTATAGAAAACAAGGACAAGTAGTTCAACTGTTGTAGCAGACATTCTGAAGGATAACAGCACAAAACCCACAATTTGGGTATTTTTAAGCTTACGATTAAGAATAATTTTCAGATTCAAGAACAGCGCTCGTGACGGTTGTCTATCTATACCCAGCCTGTTTTATGAAGCTTGAATAGGCATAGAAGTTTCTGTTTCTAGATTGCTACACCTCTATGCATTTATCACCAATTACTTTGTACTTCTCCTCTTGTGTGTATATATAAAACAATGGCATGTTACCATGGTTACCAACAGATTTGGTTTGTCGTAGAAGTTTTTATTCAACCCTACACCTAAACTCGTTCATTAACGATCGTTTCTACGTAATGAACTCTGTGGCTCTATGATCACACATGTCAAGATAATGAACTCTACAGCTCTACGACTCTACAATCACACATTTCTAGATAAACTCTATGGAATACATTTCCAGATATTTAACTCTACAGCGCTACGATCACACCCAAGTACAACAAAAACAATAACAGAGTTAGAAATTACGATGTTTTGCTAGAGTAAAACCAAAAGGATAGGGGTGCTGACTGCTCAGGTTGTCGAATTAGCCATAATTTGCAACAGAGACTGTGGACAGGTACCTATAGTTACTTAAGTGTCACCACAAAGCTTACTAACTTTCCTTCAGTACGTTAGTACGTTAGTGCGACTGCATATTTTACTAACTTTACTTCAGGACATTAATGCAACCATACCTCTTTCTTTCCTAGTTTTTGACACCAGACGAAGCTCAGGCCAGCGTAGCAGTAAAACCCTCCAGTCTCATTGTAGCATCAGCATTTAGATGATGCAGAATAAAAAAAAAAACAGAGTCAGTGTTCTAATGGTTTCAATTATTTGCATTAGGAAACAAACATAAGAATAGATCTCGGAGGAGGCCAAAAGGGAAATATAATCTAGTAGCATGCTGAAGATGCACATCTTGTGTTGTTCCAGAAGACAGTAATTATCAATTGTTATCAATTTTTGCCAATCGCTGAAGAAATTGTGTCAGTTCGATTGTTATTGATTGCTGATATCAGTCGATAGCAATTGGCAATTGATATTGATTGGTGTTAATTGAATTGGTTGATTTCTGATAGACCTTTCCATTTTGATTGACTATGCCTAGCATAAACTAGCAAAGAAAGAGGTAAAGCCCAGAATGTTTCTGTTATTTCTGTCCTTGTTATTTTCTTGATGATTGTAAATGATTTTGTTGATTTTGATTGAATCATTGATTTTCATCAATTGCTATTGGCAATTAATATCAATCTTTGATTGATATCAACTGCCAATATCAATCAATTAATATTGATTATCGGTTTATCGATTGACTACACCTGGTTTTCATGTAACAATGTACTGATTAAGGAAAGTTAGTAGAATATTACTGTTGCTGTAACGTACTGAAGGAAACTTAAGTTAATTGTGTGGTTCCAGAAGATATCCATACCCCCCCCCCCATGGAGGATCATGGAAATTCCAAGGGGTAGGAGGGTCTGAAAGAGGTAAATTTCCAAAGGGGAGGGGGGCTACTCAAAGAGTTTTCTTTTCAGAGGGTGTGAAATGCTGTTAAACTTCTCTTGGGTTGAATGAATACTATTGTACTTTCCCAATTGATTCAGGTAACCAAACCGACAGAAACGTTCCATCCATTGAAATGAACGTTAGATTCTTTGTCATATATTTTACATTTTTCTTCCGACGTTGTATGACATACGGCAATCTTAAGCATCGTCTTTGTTGGATGTCAAGTTGAACAAAATGCCAATGAAGAGGTGCAGCAATACATGAACAATGAAGCTGATGATATTTTATACTTTGAAGATCGTGCTGTATTTAGCTTAAATGCAGCTCAGATGCTTTTTCCAGCATTAATCATGCTGTCAGTTAAATGAGATGCGTACTTTGTTTATTTTGTTTGACACGTACAAAATTATTCCCCGTTTCGGTCTTGCCATAATGAGGTTATCACATGTTTTCATCATTATCTTTGTAGTTAATAGTTTGCTAAGTGAGCAAAGTCGATTCAAAGCCATTTGTCTTGAACTATATGTAACCGTGGACAGTGAGGGGCATTGGAGCAGTAGCCGGAATTTCATGTCATTTATAGAATGACTGAACAATGCGTGTTTCATGTATGAAATGTATGACAAATTAAAAAACTAAGGCGTAAAATGAATTTGTTATCATTTACAAACTACAGAGACAAAGCATATGACTTAATTGATGTATTCCTTTGATGAAAGAACAACAAAACGACATTTGGGAAACAGCTGTTTTGAAAAAAATGTTGCGTGACAACTTTACTGAGTGTGTAAAGTAATTTGATATGTTGTTTTGACCATGCATAAATTAAAACTTTGACTGGGTTATTTGAAAGAGCTTTATGTACATTCCGAGATTCTTGTTAGAAAACTTCTTTTAATTTAATGAAGAAAAAGTCAGGTGCTATGCCATTTGGGAGTGAAGCACTTCTAAGTCAGGWGTTTATTAATTCAAACGCCAGTTCAAACATTTTAACATGACATGAAGGAACYTGCCATGTCTGCCATCRACCGTGAAAAAGTATGTCTTCGTCTACAATGTAACTATAAACAGCTGCGGCTAAATTTTAGTGCAATTAATGAGTTAAGTCTTGTTATTTATGGATATGGAATTTCCGAGGGGCAGGGGAGCTCAAGTAGAAAAATCATGGAAATTCCAGGGGGTGGGGGCAGTGCCATGAAGCCCCAAAAATGGAAAATCCAGGGGGGTGGAGGTGAAACAGGGAAAAACCCTCCGTGGGGGGTATGGATATTTTCTGGAACCACACATTAAGTACATGTATGTGGTTGCACTAACTTACTGAGGGATAGTAAAATATGCAGTCAAACTAACATACTTATAAATAAAGGTAAGTAAAATATGTGGTCATATACTAACGTATTGAAAAAAAGCAACGTATGTACTGAAGGACAGTACAGGTGTAGGTAAAATATGCAGTCGTACTAACGTGCTGAACAAAAGGAAGTAAAATATGTGGTCGTGCTAACATATCACATTATAAACATTTCAAGCTCATCATTGTTAAATATTCTTGGGTAGATTATGGAACTATTACAAGATCTAAAACAAGGGAAAACAAGTGTTTCAGAACTGGGTGAAACCCTCACCAAAAATTCAATGGCAATTGTAGTGCATCAAAAACAGAAAAGCAGGCAGTGTTCTGACCTTTGGTTACAGCCACTCATTCTCATTCCCACTCACTTGTACTCTGAAATCTATAGACCCAGAAGAGGAACTGCTTGAAGTTTGTGGTTGTTCTGCTTGAAACTGTTACTTTTGTATCCTATTTATCTGTGTATGTTCACTAAATGTATCATATTTTTCTGATAGGGAATCTTCCAAGGATTTTGCAGTTATTGGAATACAAGCCTATGCAGAAAGAAATCAGTGTGGAGAAGCTGTTACATTTGCTAGTCAGATTTTTGGAAGCTCTGAAGGGTTTCCTGCTGAGGTGCTGGAAATATGGCAAGTTTACATTTTCAGTTTATTGATTTACAAAATTAATCAATTTAGGACCGTAATTATTGAATGTGGATGTACTTTTTACCCCTGAGAGGCATTACAGGTAAAGCGTTTGAAAAAAGGAGAATTTCACAAAGCACTAATAGTGCTGCCTCCTCTGCAGGCTTTTCTAGATTTTGTGCTTATTATGATGTCCTACTGCACTGTGCTTGCTTCAAGTGAACACGGTGATACAGCTTGTAAGGGGTACTGAATGGTAATCCCTAGAAATTTGACTAAATTTTGTGAGATGTGTATTTTTTGACCTTGCAAGATGTGTACTGTTGACCTTGGCCAATGTCTTCCCTCCTAACAATGACAATCATGTTTTCTTTGATCGCCTCCCTAACTTCAAGTGTGATGAAATTGTAATCACTGATTTTAATTTAGTATTAGACATTAGTGACGAAGAGATGAAAAATGGTATTGCCAGAACACACCAAAATGCTTTAAAAGTAGTGCAAAATGCAATAGAAAATCTGTAGCTATGTGATGTTTAGAGAATCCTTAATCCAGAAAGCAAGAGGTTTACATGTACCTGGAGGTAGAGACAGCCAGATATTCATGCAGACCACGCTATGTAATTGTACTCATACAGACATCACTGCAGGTTTCAAAACTGATCACTCAATGATAACACTCAACCTATCTGTCCACTCAAACCCAAAGGGAAATGGTTTCTGGAAGCTAAACATGTCCCTTCTTTCTGACACCACCTTTGTTGAAAAAATAAAAGCAACAATACCAGAAACAGTTAATGAATATAAAGATAAAAAAACTTATCAATCCCTCACTATAATGGGAGATGATAAACATGAAAGTGCATCAAGAATCTATGAAAAGAAAGAAAAGTGGAAGAGAACAGGCGTTGGAAATAGAAATTGTGTTTTTAGAGAACAGCAGCACGATGCAATTGTTGTTGACCCCTTAAATCAAAATGCTTCTGAGCATATTAAGGTCCTTAAAGAAGAACATGAAAAACATTATTGAATAACAAACCAAAGGAGCTATTCTTTTGTCAAAGTCAAAGTGGTATAATGAAGGTGAAGAGAAAACTAAATAGTTGCATCAGACAAAGACACTTTATCCAAATGCAAATCTTTTTGTAAACATCTGGACACCTTGAAAATAGAAAACTCCACACACTTTAATTTTTTTCAGTAAGATAACAAGACTTTTTTATCCCTGAGGACCAATACAGTAAAAACCCACATAAAAGAACACATGTTTTGGGGTTTCAGGCTGATTTTGTTCTTCTATATCAGGTGTTTTCTGCAAAATCAGCCTGAAAATGTTCTTAAGGTGTTCTTAAAATTGTTTCTAAAAATTAAATACTGCATAGACTACCAACAGATGAAATCAATGTGAAAGCACAACATTTTAATTAATTAATGTATAGCACATACATGTATATTGATCTACTCAGTACTGTACTTAATACTGTACCCTAGTAGGTTATTCTAATCTAACTGGCAGCCAATTTTTTTATATAAGAACAATTTTCATCTTTCAGACTGAATGCGTTCTTATGTATATGGTACTTTTTTGACCAAATTTCAGCCTGAGTGTTCTTAATCCACTTGTTCGTTTATGCGGGGTTTTACTGTAGTCTTGCAACAGTATCTTAACCGAAACAGAATGCGTGGAAGAAGCCTTGAAACCTATGGATTCTGACAAAAATATGCCTGGCACAGATGGCCTTCAGGTTGAGTTCTATAGGGGAGTGGAATTTCTGTATTTCTGTATATAAAAAACTGGCACCCAATCACCCTAGACTATAAAATTGCAGCGAAAACTATTGTGAACCATATTAACGCTGGGCTTCCAAAGCTTATAAACAACGATCATCTACAGGGTTTATGAAAGGAAGGCTCATCAGTGAAAATATACGACTTGTTGATGGCATCATGCAATATGCTGCATTGCATAGTGTAAGGTAAAAAGGTAAAGACTGCATACGAGCCAAGTGGCCCATCAGGCCGGAGCTTATCCCGGTTTCTGTAGCATGAAGCGACCAGGAGTATTTCTACTCCCCCCTGGATGGGATGCTAGTCCATRGCAGGGTTACCCCCAGCATTAAGTTCGCCGGTACCCATTTATACACCTGGGTGGAGAGAGGCACTGTGAGAGTAAAGTGTCTTGCCCAAGAACACAACGCAATGTCCCTGGCCAGGGCTCAAACCCGGACTGCTCGATCCGGAGACAAGTGCACTAACCATGAGGCCCCCGCGCCTCCCTAAGGCATAGTGTACCAGGTGTATTACTTTTCATAGATTTCGAAAAAGCGTTTCATTCAATTAAATGGCTGTTCATTTTGGATACATAGCACTTTTTTGGGTCTATCAATTATAAATTGGGTAAGAACTTTTTATTGCAGGATTGAAAGCTTTTTTCTCAACAATGGGTAGTCAAGTAATTTTTACAAGTCACCATGTTTATTTATTCTGGCAGTGGAGGTACTGGCCAAGGCAATTCAAAACAAGGCTCAAAATAACGGCTGGTCAATGGACAATGTCCGGCCAGAATGGTGACTTGACTGGCCAAAAACTTCACTTGCCGGTCATGTTGACTGGTCACATTATGTTGACACAGTCATGTTATTCATTTTTAAGGTTACACAATACCGTCATGGGTGCCCTTTAGAAAAAAAATTCATACCAGCATTGTTTTTAAGGAAACTACCACAAACTATATATCAATAGAAAGGTTATAAACTGTAGAATTCAGAAAAAATATCCACTGTTTTGGCTGTGCCTTTGTTGAGAAGAAAGAAGCTGGAAAACAGAAAACCACCAACTGTCATTCGGCTGAATTAATCGGGTATCAAACGCAAGCAGTGATGTTTAAGAACTGCACAGTTTCAATCAGCAAGCATCAATTTCTCAAACTGTGTCGGGGTTTTCCTGTGTTCTTATTGGTTATCTTTTCATAGACCCATAAAGGTTTAGCATCAAATAATTTGCTGACCTTGTTGCGTTCACGCCTGTCACAAGAGAAATATCTACGAGATAAAAAATTGCCGATGCCCTGTTGCTCCTGTTATTGCGGTTTGGAGAGTCGTAAACATGTCAAGCCTTTGCTCAGATGTATGTGAACAAAATATGCTGCCAGCCAATGAAATCATGGTACCCCTATCGTTCACAGTGAGCAAAATGATTTTCATAGGAATTCCAAGGAAATAATAGTGTAACAGTCACCTTCTCCTTGTTGCACTTCAGCATGCGTTTATAGAGCTGTCTTCACTACTTGTGTTCAATGGGGAAAAACAATTAGAGAAATAAGCAGGGTAAGAGTACAGTTATGAGTACGCACAATCTCTTGCTGCTGTTTGTCAAAGTTTTCTTGTCTTCGAGAAATTTCGCTTTTGTCTTCTTCTTAGGTCCTGGCTTTGATTTTTTTCACTGTCCAAGGACTTTCCTCTTTCTTTTTTTAGCATGTTTCGTGACCTCAATGTGGAGTGATATGTAGCATGGAAGAACAAATTAATTCGAAATAGCGAAAAAGCGTGAAAACAAAGAAAAATGCTAATGAGGCCCTTGTAATAAGAGCTACAACAGGAAGCTGTCTTGCACAAAAAGTTGACGCGCTATGAGGATTATGATACCTAACTGTTTTATTAACTTTTATTAAAAAACTTTTTTTTTCTAAATAACTCGTGCACGTTATAAGATTTTGCTTTCATTTTCTGGGAGGGGTTTTTCATTCTCACTGTCTACTGAGGTTTGGAGATCGCTTGGCACATACTTATGCTTGTAAAAGTGATCTCACTACAAAGTGCATGGTTTGTTCTAAAATGTTAGCAATTTTTAGCAGGCCCTAGTTTGATCAGTTTGAGGCCTGGTTTGGTGTGGGTAATTGCTATCCCTTGATTCAACACTTTTTTTTGTGCAATGAAGGAACAAAATTGTCTGTAATAACTCAAGTCCTAAGGACAGAAACATCAATATCAGAATAGCCCTCCACTCAATAGCCAAAGTGATCATTCTAAAGTGATTGTGGTCTCTCTAGGAATATCAAGCCTCAAGAAAAAGTCTCTGTCAATAAAAGAAAAATGCTATATTTTACAAATAGTTATTAAGAGATGTGGTTTACAAATTCAGTTGCTGTCAGTGTAATTTTGTCTATTATATAGGCACACAGATAGAGCCTTGGCAACAGCCTAGAACACAATAGCCTGATGGCAGCTCCTGTTGGTAACAATAATTCTATGATTGGGCAACTGCCAAACAATTTGGCCAGGGCATATAATAAATCATGCCTTCACTGTGGACAAGTCTGTGTCAAACACCATTTTAGACTTATTTTACTGATGTCCATCCATGACTACAATTTTGGCATTTCTTGTTTAACTGTAGCATGTAATTCAACAATATTGTAATAAACTGTTCCCATCATTTTTTATTTAGCAACTTCCCCAATCAGTTGTTTGTGCTTTCCATCTGATGTGTGTATAAAAGTTTCAATTATTTAAAACATGTAACTTTCATACCCATGACAGTATTTACATGCTTCTGAAAGCATCCAAGTATGATGAGGCTGCTGAACTTGCAGAGAAATGGCTGGAATGTGAAGAAAACTTCTCCCTGGAACTAAAATACTGTCAAATAGCAGGGTGTTATATCAAGCATATTCTGTTTCCTCAAGGATTGTTTGAAAACATTCAACGATTTCTAAGGAGAAATCAAGTTCTAACTCCTGAGCAAAGAGAGGTAAGAGACTATTATAGCTGTGTAATTAGTATAGGAAAAAGCATGGTTTCTGGGGGTATTTGGGATGAATGCTGCAATTGGTACTGTATTTCAAAATTCACCAAAATCTCACAAGCCGCAAAGCAGCAAGTGATACTTGGGGAGTTTTGAAATATCACAAGCCAGTATTGATATTTAATTTTACATGTAAGTACATGTATTTTAAATTTGGCTCAAATACTACTTGTCTTAGCCAATCACATTGCAGAAATTTCTCAGCCTGTAGTATAAAGTAAGGTACATGTAAGTTATTATAAGATCTGTATACAAGGAGTCCCTGCCAGGATAAATCCTCACAAGTAGCTTGGCCCTAAAAGCCACAAATAGGAAATACTGTAAGAAGCAACAATTTTTAGCAATTTTCCATAATTTAAGATGAAATGAAATTGATCAATTTATGATTTCCTTTTGTTTGGTGAAACAGCACTTGACGACTCTTAATAATTTGGAGGATTTGAGAAGTGGGAGGGTTTGCATCATAACAAAGTCAACTTTTACCTTGTTTCTGACAAGGGGCCTGCAATCACAAGTATGGAACTTTAAAATGTTCTCATAAACAATTTAACTGTTTCCATTCCAGATATTGCTCCATTTTGCAAGACCTCGTGGCAAAGAGAAGGTATTATTTTAAGACATATTATCAATATATAAATGTGCAAAATATAAAACTTAAATTTCCAGTCTTTATAGAATGGTTATGCACTGTCATCAGTCCTTTAAAATCAGATTGTAGCAGTTTGATCGTTTTGACTAAACTTCCAGTCAGTTGTTGTTTACAAAAATTATGCTACTAATGCTGACCTTATATGTGCCTAAGTGTGTTTGCTGGCAAATGCCTTTAACCACAAGGAGTTCAGACACTGCAAAACGAGGTGATCACAAGGTATAGCCAAGCATGTCTTGTAGAGTGCATGATGTTCAATCACTGTGAAGAGGGTGACAAACTTGGGCTGTTAGTTTTGTATGCGGCTGATTTTTCATTGGGATCATGACTGGAGACAATAGCTGTACTAAATTATGAATAAATTTTTTTTTCCTCTTGAAGTTCAGTTGGAGGATATAATTTTTAAGTTAAGTGAATTCTATTGCTTCTTCTCTGCTAAGATTGACTTCATTAATGCAACTACAGATCTAGAGTCAATGTAAAGGACAAGGCTAATATGCCTTGAAGTATTAGCCTGGACAATCAAATACCCTTCACAAAAACTTGAACATTACAAACTATTATGACATTCCATACTTTGACTTCCTCTTTTCAGGCGGAGAGCTGTGCTAGCTCAGTTGTCAATACTTCAAGTAAAGTAACCGTGCCTCCCAGACTACAGCATGGTAATTATAGTTTCAAGATGTAGAAAACGTAAGATTTAAAAGTGATCTTATCCAGAGGGTACTCACACTTAAGTAGGGGTGGATTGGCTGTGTTTTCTTACTGTGGGAATATGTACAATATGTCTCAGACCTTCTAAAGTAATGGTAGACCATAGCATTTCATATTTTCTACATAGAGAGTTTACTATTAACAAATAAATCAATCTCATAAGTATTGAAATGACAGTCTCAAAAATGTTATCTAGAACAGACACATGTAGACCTGATAGCTAAGTCATCCAAGTATTTAAAGGGCTCACTCAATCAAGAGTACTAGTATAGAAAAGGGTTCAGTGCAGCATTTGTACTGTAGGTACATGAAAGTGAAAAGGGTACCATTTTCTTTTAATTTTGTATGGACAGTATGCAAAAAGGTTCACTTTTCTGTGTTGAGAGTGTTTTATAAAAGATTTCGGTTTGAACCTTGTGGCTTCCCTAGCCTAATACATGTGCTATACTGATATTTGTTGCTTGTTCCTGTTACTCAAATGATAGGAAGTGTGTCAATCACTTTATAGGTGCTGCTCATGGAGTTATCTTGAGAGTGATAGCAGTTTTAAGAAAGCTTCAGAGCTTATACAGTACTATCTCCTGCCAACAGAAAACAAAGACTCTTCTTAGAATAGTTATCCTATTCTTTTTCGTTTACTCCTTCCTTACAGCTACTGGCTATCAAGGTATAACTATTTGAACAATTCTTATTCTTCCTAATATCTGTTGATACTGCTTGAGCTGATGGAATTTAAACTGCACACACTAGTAACATATGGCTGCGGTTTACTGCCTCTGCATCCAACAGATACACCCGTAATGCTCATACTTTGAACAGATTGAATCTGGTGAAGTTGTGTTTGTTGGAATTCTTTGGTAATTGTTTAAAGCTATAATAAAGTGTATTATCGTTTGTCTCACGATGTAGTCACTTGAGATGTAGATCGCGACGTTTCGACTACTTACTGCTAGTCTTCTTCAGGCGATAAGGTCGACTGATTGCACGGTATCATTTATATCA